TGTTTCCTGAAGTGAATAGGGCGATTTCATCAAACTTTATATGATGATCATGTATATTGGGTTACACGTGCACGTCATATTTTTTTCTAAAATTTGGACCAAAATGGCCGACTGTTTTGTCTTGAGATTTGATCAAATTTGTCGAAATGGAGGCCACTTTGTCGAAAAACGTAAAATATCAAGTCTTTTCTACCTCCGTTGAAGATAATGAAAAAAGATGTTGGATATGATGAACTCCTAAAAAAAAAATTTGCAAGCAAACCTACTGATAAAAAAAAAATTTCCAAACACATAAAAAAAAATAAAAAAAAATTTGCCTTTCACTGAGCTGACCTCCCCCCCTCAAAAATCAAATGGTCCAACCCTAAAATTGTATTAATACTAGATCATCTCATTTTAATCATAGTTTGAACATTTGTTATTTAAATACGTTTATGTGACGCTAGAAAATATGATAATGTCATTTACTTATTAAGCAGAGACAAACTTTGTAAATTCTTAGATTTCATACTTGGGTGTTATTTATTGTAGAGGCATCCATCTGTTTTTCCTGACGGTACTGACGTGACAGCTGATTATCTGATTGATGCTATGGTTTATGGGATTGATGATGTCATGAGCAGACAATTACTAGAAGTACTGACGCCTGGACAGTCACTGGTTAATTTGAATTGGCAACATTCATCTGGTAAAGAAAATTTTGCAAGATAAACAATTTATGTTTATGTTATTTGTATAAATGTTTTTTTTTTTACACTTGCCTTACACTTTTTAAATTTCATGTATCAGATTGGGTAGAATGGGGAAACAAGGATGTTTTGTAGATTCAAATTACCTTTTGTGACATGTACTTGCAAGCATTATTCAATAAATGTTGTATACATGTTGTTATTGAATCATCTTATAAAAAAAAAGCAAACAAGAAGCAACATTTTTTTTTTGCGTAATGTAGTTAATTTGTAACACATTATTACAATGACTTCTTGGTCTCAATTTTTATCAGAGGATGACTCCATTGTCCGATGTTACTCCAGTTCACCACTAGAGCTGATGGCATTCACACTAGGACGTTCAACTCCTGGCATTGAGAACTCCTGTCCATTGCCACCAATTGTTATCAACGAGATAAATGTAGACCAAGCTGGTACGGATGTAGAAGAGTATATTGAGTTGTATAGTCCTGGTAGACCTCTGTTTCCATTGAACACCTTGGCTATAGTAAGCGTATCTGTATTTCTACTCTCGTTTTACCTCGGCTGTCAACGAAGATGATAGAGCGCTGCTCATGGGTTGACGGGACCTGTCGTTATCTGTACGTCATGCGTCGTCTGCCAACTATTTTTCAGGCGACTTCTTCTCCCAAGCTGTGAGCTATATTAGATCACCTTGCTACCTGGGATGGTCCTCTGTCAGATTTGTTTAATTCATGACATGGCATCCA